GAGAGAGAGAGGGAGAGAGAGAGAGAGAGAGAGAGAGAGAGAGAGAGAGAGAGAGAGAGAGTTATCGGAGACGATAAGACCGACCGAGCAATATCTTCGTTAGGTTTTCAATCACACTAACGGTGACATGCCGGCGTCTCTGTGACTTCCCCGTTGAAACTGGCTGAATCAATCGAACTCGCGCCTAGCACGACCAAAAGAACGGCATAATTCTGGGCGAGCAAAGGGCGCGGCTGGAATACGAGAAAAGGCTTGGGTGACGCGGCGCTCACCTCCGGCAGTTTGCTGATGAAGTCGTGAGCGTTCGCTTCCTTCGCAGCTTTGATCATCTCCTCCTCGGTAACGCTGTCATTTCCGTAGCGGATGTTCTCCCGTATCGTCGTGTCAAAGAGTACAGGCTCCTGACCTACCACGCCGATATGTGAGCGCAGCCACTGAACATTCAGCTCCGACACGTCGATTCCGTCCAGAAGGACCTGCGAGGAAAAATACGGAAACCCTTGAAGATTGTCTCTCACGGTACACACACCCACACACACACACACACACATAAACACATATACGCACACGCACAGAGCCACACACGTCAAACTAAAGCGCGTATCCGGCGCGAAACGAGAATCGATAGTCGAGCGCTACGGTAACTGACGTGCGGGAGCGTCGTTTGTATGAAAATAGATGTCGCGTTAATTAACGTAACTCCCCTAAGCGAGATAATACGTTATTACTGTGTATTTGCACGTGTAACGAGGAACTTTGCTGTATCGTGGTGCTGTGCGGTGTCTTGCGATATCGCCCAACAACTGGAAGTTTACAAGTTTATTGAACGTACAAGTGCGATGTGTTTGTTGGGGGGTGACACGTTGGGAGGTGAACACGGTAAAGTCCTGAGCGTACGTATCAGCCGTAAAACGTTTATTACACAACACGCCGCGCTAACTCCGTTATCGCGGTCGCTTGGTCGTCGTAAAAATTGCGCTGGCGTTAACGAAAAGATTGCAGCGACACCCTTCACTGTGCGACAGATGCGCGCGGGTGATTTTGATCCGATTGAGTGGCCGGTAATTCGGATATCGGTTGCTCACGGGCGAAAAGAAGTCCGAGTTTTCTCCATTGTGAAAATATAAACGGGATGAATGAGCCGATATGGAACGATAAAATGACGCTCTCGACTTGGTCAGAGGTTTCTTATTTATCTATTTAGAGACTCACGTATCTATTTACCTACTTATCTACTTATCTATAGACGACAGAAAATATAATATCGCGCGCGACTGATGGCCGTAAAACAATTATTTTCCGCGTAACGTTAAGTAAATTACCCACGGCGCGCGCGGCGCTGCCATTTATTCCTCGCGCCGCCATAATTTCACGATAAAACCGTCGCTTGGACATTTATGACCAAGCTATACGCGCTGTCATTAACTTCGCTGCCTGCGTAACAACGCGTATCGCGTTGCGTGCGCCTCGTCGCTCTTAGAAAATTTGTGAAAATAGATCCTAGGGTAAAGTTTCCCAACGGAAGGCAGAAGGGAGGGAAAACAGAACGCGGTACCCTGACGCTCGGATATCGACGATATTTTGTTTCACATCTCGTTGTCGAGACGGATCCCAGAGATCGAGAGGGATCCCAGACAAGGGCGCGAAACACGTCGCCGCTCACCTGCCCTCCGAGGGGGTCGTACAGCCGTTGGATGAGCTGCAGACAGGTGGATTTGCCGCAGCCGGATCCGCCGACAAGCGCCACCGTTTCGCCGCGATTGATCCTCAGATTCAGCTCGCGCAACACCTCCACGTCCTTCCGCGCCGGATAACGGAACTCGACGTTCTTGAACTCGATTTCGCCGTGGACGGACTGCAGCTTCTTGCCCTCGCCGCTGAGGCTGTCGATCGTCGGCACGCGGTCGAGCACCTGGAAAATCGCGGCGGCCGAGCCGCGCGCCACCGCGAACGCTTCCAAATGCGGTGAGGTCAGGCCCATGTTTTGCGCGCCGGACAAGACGCCAAAGAACACGATCACCAATACCGCAGGCGTGTACTCCTTGTCCTCCTTCTCTCGGTCGTTCAGAATTAATTGCAGGCCGTACCTGTAACGCAAGAGACGAGCTCTACTGTTTTGACCATAAACCGGCTCGTTCCTTCCGAGGCTTTGCTTCTTCTTTCAACTGCGCGAAGAGAAAGTACGAAGCTGTCTCACGCAGAAGCGCCCAATTATCTTGTCTCTCGCGCTTCTTGCTTCCGAAACTAATCAATTATACCGCCGTATCACCCGCGTTCCTTACTGGCTTCTTGTTGCGAAGATAATGACACTCGATCAATGTCAGAAAACTTTTTATCCAGTAAAATTCTCTCGGTTGAGACGCGCGATTATGATTTCGTGCACCTAAATTTAGCTCTGAACGAAGCGCGAATTAACCACCCAGCCAAGATGAGATTATCCGATGAGATTACCCGAGTCGAAATTTTTATCCTATTTTTATCCTCAATGTTCCATTTGATACTTTGATATTCTGAAATATTATATCAATCTCTTTTGATACTATTTAACTTACTAATTTTGTACAGATGTCCCCCTTAGAATCTACTAGAGTAGCACTTTGTGTGCTTCCTGCCATTTAGAGGCGTTAAATAGAACTTCATACTGAGAGAAAAATATGGTTACTTTTGCCCTCAACAAAACTGTTTTGTGATTTTAACCACAAAAAATAATTAGAATAACCATCTTTCTAATAACACTTATTAAAACAATGGTTATTCTAACTATTTAAATAATTAGTGTTATTAGAAAGATGGTTATTCTAACTATCTTTGTGATTATTTTTGTGGTTAAAATTACAAAACGGTTTTGTTGGGGGCAAAAGTAACCAAATTTTTCTCTCAGTACAGTTTTCATGTGTATAAAATATGCATTAATCTTTTAGAGAATATACAGACGTTAAAGAGATCAGGTCTAAAGTAAGAGCAAAATTTCGACTGACATTTCTCGTATGTGAAACGACACGTACCAAAAGGCCAAAGCATAGCTGAGGTATATGATGAGCCACATCACCCCGCCGCCGACTCCCGACCACATCCCCCTTCTGATCCCGGTCCTCTCCGCGGGCACAAGCTTCTCAGCGTATCTCTCCACTTCTTTCTGCTCGCCGTTAAACGCCACCACGGTTCGAATGGCGCCTAGGACTTCCTCGGCGACGCTGCCGGCCTGTCCGTAAGCGGCGAGTTCCAAAGCCGACAAGGAACTCTGCACCTTAGCGACGACGGCCGTGGCGATTACGATGATCGGTGCGCAGCTCAGCACCACCAGGGTTAACTTCCAGCCGTAAACGAACGAGATGATGATCGAGGTCGAGAAGGAGCTCACCAAGTAAATGAAGATACACAGCTTTTCGCCCATACCGTCCTTCATCTTGTCCAGATCCCTGCAAAGCAAACATCAACAACTCTTTTCGTCTTTCGTGTGCATTCGTTGATCGACGCAATTGCGCGAGCGATCATCGATCGAATATGAAGATCCAAATTCATCAGATTGAAAAACCCAGCTCGATGACTGATTCGAAACTCTTGATTATATTGACAACGATTGACGTTTATCGATCATCACCGTTATCAACGTTATCGTTATCTCGCACTTTTGCGGTAAATCTGCTGCGAGATTAGCTACTTTTATGTAAGCTTAGCCGGATGCTCTATATAGTTATTAAAACTTTGGAATACAATGGTACTCGGAAGGAATTGTTTCGCGGGAGATAAGAAACAAGCCGCAAGTGTGATATTACGCAATATTGCGCTTCAAACATCTGCTCCGCGAGCTAAGTTTGTAGAGGTGTTTCTCTCTTTCACTATTTTTTTCTTCCTTATTGGAAGTATCCGTCTCATTTTTCCGACGCAGAGAGAACGGAGAGATACGCCGTGGACGGCAAAAGATGAAATCGTGAGCCTTAACTCGGGGCAAAAATGAGCATTCTAGAGATTTGCGCGAGGGTACTAATAACTTAATATGAGCGCTCGTCCAATTACTATACGACGTAATACGGGCGGGAGCAGAGACAGCGCGAGAACAGGCTTTTCGAGTTTCACGAATGCCCACCTGTTGATGAACACACCGGTTCTCGCCTCCTGAACTTTGCTCCGCGCTCTTCCCCACATCCGCCGCGTTTACATCAGCAGCCTCGAAAATCGAAGCACCCCCGTTAGAGAACGCACCGGTGTGTGAAGCTACAGATTATTATCTCGTGGCCGAAATAATTTCATATTAACGAGAGACAGACAGAGAGAGAGAGAGAGAGAGAGAGAGAGAGAGAGAGAGAGAGGGAGAAAAGAAGGGGAGGCAGAGATCGTATTTTATGATTTCAATTATATCTTTACTCGACATTCTCTTATAACCTAAGATAAGTGAGCTATAAGTGAGTTTCATTTCCTTTGATATATTAGACAAACGAAAAATTTGCAACTCTAGTGCTTATTTCGGTATCTTCGCAAATAAGTTAGCAATCAACTTTGGTTTTGCAAATTTTCTTTCTAGAAATCTCACAAATAACTTTTTTAGCGACAAGATTTATTTTTCTTCACGTATATTACACGAACGAAGACTGCGCGATTCTATTTATTTCGATCATACCTTCGCAAGTGAATTAGCAATTAGCTTTGATCCCGCAAATTTTCTGTCTAGAAATCTCACAAACGATCTTCTTTGACGACGAAATTCTTTTTCATATACATTGGACGAAGACTCTGCGCAATTCTGACATTTATTTATTGGCAAAATCTTCGCAAATGAGTTAGTGATCAGCGTTGATTCTGCAAATTGTCTATTTAAAAGTTTCCCAAACAATCTTCTTCGGCGACTCGCTGTTACTGGTCAACGTAATTACTCCAATGACTATGCATTGCGTTATATTCGTCCATGAATGGCGCATACATGTTTGAAGTTGCTCGTTATCACGCGGATTTTCGATCAAGGTTATCTTATCAATAATGTATTGAAATCGAAAGATTCGATCAGGGCGATACACACGCAGCGATCAGTACGCGTATTACGATGTAGAGAAAAAGACTCACTCGGTGATCCTGCTGGCGAAGTTTGTCGACGTGTTCGTGTCGTACCACGTCATGTCCTGCCTGAGCACGGCTCGAAGGAACATCTTGCGCACTCGAGCGATTTGTCTCGAGGCAGCGAGATTGAGCAAGTCGATCGCGAATATCGCGAGAATAAACTGGATTACTGATATCGTCGTGCAAGCGATGCCGAATGCCACCGCGTCTTCGTAGAGAGCGTCCATCCTTTCCTCTTTCGATGCATTAGCTAGTCTGAAGTGACAAAATTACATGTCCTCTACGGCGATTCCGAATTTGACATCTTCGAAAATTAGTTTTCGAATTTGACATATACGATCACACATATCTTTCTCTCAACGCGGCATCAAAATACGCGAGTACTTTGGAACAAAGTCAATCTCTCATCAATTCTCAAATGCAAAAACTGCGATACTTACAAAACTCGTCCGCCTCCAAACCACTCCAATATGAGAGTCGATGTGCTCGTGTGATTGTTCATGTTACGATCCACTAACAGCGTGCTGAATTCGCCATACTCAATCGTGGCAATTGGTAAGCACAGACCTATTAAGCAGCCCAAGAAGAGGCCGGCGACAACCAACATCAGCTCGCCCCATGTCGCGAATCGAAACTGATAAATTTGCGAAACTATTATTTACTAATAACAAAACATTTTATTATTTAATATACTATTCAACATTACGCAAATGCTGCTATTTATGCACAGAGAATTTCTTGGGATCTAAATGAGATACAATCTAATTTCCTAAAATAATTATAATTTTTAATGGAAAGTGAAGTGTTTTAAGCATGTCATCTTAGCAATGAACACACCGACATGATCAAAGCGATTTTTATCTCCGAGAAAAGACGTGATAATATTCGTTTTTTTATATAGGCCTTAGTTTACTCACCAGAGGGCACCAAAGTTAACAAAAAAAGTTTCCTTATAACTTATATTGAGTAATAGCTCAAACAAAAAATATGTATATGTACGAGTATGTGTGTGTGTGTGCGTGTGCTTTATAGTTCATGAGATAGAGAATGTCATAAATCTATTATTTTTAAATCAATTATAGATCGATTATATACAAATATAGATAGTATAGATAGATCATTTTGCATTACCCACGTAGGGTGCACTACGTGGATGTGAGTATACTCAACGAGATTTTTTATTTAAGCTGTTGCTCAATATAAGTTATAAGAGAATGTTTCCACCAATTATGGCGTCTTTTGGTGAGCAAACTAAGGTAGTTTTTATTGTGAGTGAGAAAATTCAAAATTTTCTCTAATATTTTCTCGGCTCTTATGTTAGAGTTTAATAATATATGTTGACTTTCTAAATAATTTCATTATTCTGTAAAATGTTCCCGAAATATTTTCTTCTTTGATATTTTATTCGATTAAATATACAATAGTTAATATAAAAATAAAAATACAATCAAAAATATAAAAAAGAAACAAAAACTCAACTCAACTCAAGCTGAATTCAACAAAGGTATTTTATATTGTCAGTTTTAATTATTTATTATATTTCAATTTTACTTATTTTTTTTATTTTATTTTATTATTTTTATAGTTATGACGGCTACTTCTCAATATTAATTAACTACTTAATATTATTTCGGTAACGGTCTTGTCAGCTTTAAAATTGCGATTAACATTCATGTCAAGTTACGCAGGTCTTTAACTAATTGTAATGCGTTCGTGTCGTAAACCTTGAGTTTTTTATTATCAGTGAAGAGGGTTCATGGTTGAGCCGAAACCATATATTGATTATTCATGTTCAATAAATATTACACGATTTCCTAACACAAGGAAGGTTTTTTACCCATATGGTATATAGCACTATTAGTCCTGTGCTTGAACTCGAATTGCCCTTTCGAGTTTAAAAATAGGAATTTTTTGATTGATATCTTCGTTTGCGAGTTCTTATTTTTTTCTCTAAATAAAAAAGAAAAATATAAAAATAGTTTGATATCTGTTTAATATTATAAAAATATATTGACATTATTGACTGAAAAAAGATGCGAGTTTCTATTTTAATTTTAGATTAAAAAATCATGTTTGAGACAAGAATAGGATTTCAAATCGGTATCATAATAGGATAATCAATCTTGGGACAAATTTGAGCATTCTAATCAGACTCTATACTGCATCTGAGAAAGTCTTTGGAAATTTCTGTGCGGATAGCACTATGGAACTCGCATTTAATGTAATTCTTTTGTAGTTTCCACAAAATTTTTTGGAAATTATCAGGTATACCGCTCTATGTATAGAAATATGAGAGGAAGAATATAATTTATCATATTAGAGTAAAGTGTACGAAAGTTTCACGAACACGTTTCCGAGTGATTCAGCAGTGCGCACCGCGAGCCCGCGCGTTTTTGAATGATTCAGCAACGCGAATTCGCGCGTTCCGAGAGATTTAACTTGCAAAATTAATATCCCAACTAACAATGATTAACGAGCGACCGCGCGGACTGTGCTTCTACGCAAAAACAATCATAATTGAACCGGGGAAACGTATTCGAGTTTACGTCATTGCGAAAAAAAGAAAAAAATATCGTCCGCTCGCCAGGGGCGAAGGGAGTCGCGCTCTATCGAGAGATATAACGCGGAAAATTATTCGAAACGTGTCCCGCCCTATGAGTCGTTAACTGTCATCTATCATACAAGACCGCGTCGTTAATCACTGTCTCGCAATTCGAGAATACCACGCGGTCGGCACGATCGAGAGAAAAGTAACATCCGTAACGGTTTCGCCGGTGGCGACGACGAATCGCTTTAACCCTCCCTCTGGAATGCATGCTCCATTTCGTTTAGAGTCGGCGTCGTCGCGGTAAAGGCACTCACAGGGTGTCCCAGATCCCTGCCCCGGCCGGGATCGCTTTGCTGGCTTCTTTGCAGTTAGCTTCTTAATAGAAACATTGAAGCGCCTCTTTCGAGTCGACAGCCTTTCCGAGTCGGGATTCGAGCGCACTGTTGCCTCGCTCTCGCCCGCGAATTTCTAAACGCGGGAAAGAACGAGCATGATATATATATATATATATATATATATATATATATATATATATATATA